CTATCACTAACCTTTTGTAGGAGTATGAGGACATTTTTCCAGCTGAGACACCCCCGGGGCTGCCACCTATGAGAGGGATAGAGCATCAAATCGATTTGATTCCGGGAGCGACCTTGCCCAACCGAGCTGCATATCGAACCAATCCTGAGGAGACTAAGGAAATTCAGTGGCAAGTCCAAGACCTTTTGGACCGCGGGTATGTACGTGAAAGCCTTAGTCCTTGTGTCGTTCCTGTACTTTTGGTTTCTAAGAAAGATGGAAGTTGGCGTATGTGTGTTGATTGTAGAGCCATCAATAATATTACTATTCGGTATCATCATCCTATTCCTAGGCTAGACGACATGCTTGATGAGTTGTGTGGTTCTATAATTTTCACTAAGATTGACTTGTGAAGTGGCTACCACCAGATTAGAATGAAACTTGGAGATGAATGGAAAACTGCATTTAAAACCAAATTCGGGTTGTATGAGTGGTTAGTTATGCCTTTTGGTTTGACAAATGCACCTAGCACTTTCATGCGCTTAATGAATGAGGTTTTAAGAGTTTTTATTGGTTATTTTGTGGTAGTTTACTTTGATGATATATTGATTTACAGCAAGTCTTTTGATGAACATATGGATCACTTACGTGCTGTTTTTAATGCCTTACGTGATGCACGTTTATTTAGTAACCTTGAGAAGTGCATCTTTTGCACGGATCGAGTTTCTTTTCTTGGCTATGTTGTAACTCCACAGGGAATTGAGGTGGACGAGATAAAAATTGAAGCCATAAAGAGCTGGCCGGTTCCCCAAACCGTCACACAGGTGAGGAGTTTTCTTGGTCTTGCAGGATTCTACCGCCGCTTCGTCAAAGATTTCAGCACCATTGCTGCCCCATTGCATGAGTTGACAAAGAAAGGAGTGGTGTTTCATTGGGGAGAGGCACATGAGGAGTCCTTTGACACTTTGAAGGACAAGCTTACACACGCACCATTGCTGCAACTTCCAAATTTTGGTAAGACTTTTGAGCTAGAATGTGATGCTAGTGGACTTGGCATTGGTGGTGTTTTGATGCAAGATGGTAAACCTGTTGCTTACTCTAGTGAAAAATTACATGGTCCTGTTCTTAATTATTCCACGTATGATAAAGAATTGTATGCACTTGTCCGTTCTTTAGAGACGTGGCGTCATTATTTGTGGCCTAAAGAATTTATTATTCATTCTGATCATGAATCGCTTAAGTATCTTCGCTCTCAAAATAATCTGAATCGTAGGCATGCTAAATGGGTTGAATTTATTGAGTCTTTTCCTTATATTATCAAACATAAGAAAGGGAAGGATAATGTGATTGCCGATGCTTTGTCTAGAAGATACACATTGCTATCTCAACTTGATTGCCGGATTTTGGTCTTCAATCCATTAAAGAACAATATGCGCTTGATCCCGATTTTAAGGATGTGTTGTTTAATTGTAGAGAGGGACGCACATGGAATAAGTTTATGATCGCGATGGGTTTTTGTTTAGAGCTAACCGCCTATGCATTCCAGCTTGGTTCCGTTCGTCTTTTGTTGTTGCGGGAAGCACATGGAGGCGGATTGATGGGACATTTTGGTGCCAAGAAGACGGAGGAGGTGCTGTCCACACACTTCTTTTGGCCTAGGATGAGGCATGATGTGGAGCGGTACGTGGCTCGGTGTGCCACATGTCAAAAAGCTAAGTCGCGTTTGAACCCACATGGTTTGTATATGCCTCTTCCTGTTCCTTCTACTCCTTGGGCAGATATATCTATGGATTTTATGTTGGGATTGCCAAGGACTAAGAGGGGGAGGGATAGTATTTTTGTGGTGGTTGATCGTTTTTCTAAGATGGCACATTTTATTCCTTGTCATAAGAGCGACGATGATGTTCATATTGCTGACCTTTTCTTTCAAGAAATTGTTCGCTTGCATGGTATGCCTTCTACTATTGTTTCAGATCGTGATGTAAAATTCTTGAGTCATTTTTGGCGCACATTGTGGAATAAATTGGGGACCAAGCTGCTGTTTTCTACAACATGTCATCCCCAAACTGATGGGTAAACTGAGGTTGTGAATCGAACATTGTCCACCATGTTGAGAGCCATTTTGAAGCGCAATTTAAAGATGTGGGAAGAGTGTTTGCCGCATGTGGAGTTTGCATATAACAGGGCGGAACATTCCACCACCAAGGTAAGTCCTTTTCAGGTAGTGTATGGTTTTAACCCCCGTGCTCCTATTGATCTTTTGCCTTTACCTACCACTGAGAGAATACATAGTGATGCTAGAGAGCGTGCTGATTTTATTCGTAAGTTGCATGAAACAACTAAAGCAAATATTGAAAGCATGAATGAGAAGTATAGAATTGCTGGTAGTAAAGGTAGAAAAGAGATTAAACTTGAACCGGGTGATTTGGTTTGGTTACATTTAAGAAAAGATAGATTTCCTGAGCTACGTAAGTCTAAATTAATGCCAAGAGCAGCTGGTCCTTATAAGATTATTGAGAAAATAAATGATAATGCATACAAACTTGAGTTGCCATCCGAGTTCGGGGTTAGTCCCACATTTAACATTGCAGATTTGAAAACCTTATTTGGGAGAAGAAGATGAGTTTGAGTCGAGGACGACTCCAATTCAAGAGGGGGAGGATGATGAGGACATCACTCCTTTGGATGTACCAGCTGATCCTCCAACCGTCATGCAAGGTCCAATGACCCGGGCTCGAATGCGTCAACTCAATTTACAGGTGAGCTCGTTCTTAAGCGATCCTTTTCATACTTTTGAGAATAGACTACTACCTAATGATGTTATCTTGCTTAGGAACATTGGAGAGGGTCAAGATGGACTAAGAGGACGTGGAGGAGGTGATGATGACCAGCAAGGACGTCCAACACAAGCCGGAGGCCCAGTCCAACACGAATTCGAGTCTGCCTCGGCCTCCAGGACCAGTCTGCCTTAAACTGGTCGCCCAGGACGCATTCGGACTTCGTTTTCGATGATCCACATATGGATGGAAAGCTAATTTGATAAGGAAGCCAATCCAAGTGGTTTCACGTCAAAAGTTGTTCGGAATCAACGGGAATCGTCGAAACAAGTCAGCGTCCAGAATCTGCCAGGGTGCTGCGACACCGTCTTTTGGTCCGTTGGACCATGTATCGAGTTTGGGCCCATTAGGGGTGCGTCCAGGGGTCTTGCACGACCCTAGAGTCTTCATAAACAGCCGCCGCCCCTCCATTAGGGTTTGGGTTTTGCTTAGATTATTCTGTCAAGAAACAGTTTCGCCGTTCTTCGGTTTGTGAGACCCCAACTCGTGAGATTAATCATACATTTGCAATTTGGTTGCGTTCTTTCTTGTTCTTGCTTGTGTTCTTCGTTGCGCAGGCAGGGATTAGCCTTCTTGGCGAGGTCAACCTGGTCCGTGACTCGGTTGATAACCAGAGGAGCTGTGGTGCTAAGATTGCAGGGTTCGATCTTTCGATCTGAAGCCGGATCGGTGTGTCATTCTCCGCCACAACGATAGTTACCATCACCTGACGGAAGATCGGGATCCCCGTCTCCATTACCCCACGAGCGGCCGCTTCAGATCCACCGCCGAGGTTGCTGACGTGACCTCCCCGTCGTCATCCACGCCCACCACGGAGGTCCCTCCGCTGCCAGAGCCCTCCACCACGTCAGGGCCTCCGTTGGCTGCCCGCGCGCCCGTGGGGACGACCGGCAACGGAGGGGCCAAACCCTAGGCCGCGCAACCCACTGCCTTGCGTCACGAGGAGGAAGTGGCGTGGTGGTGGTGGTGGTGGTGGTGGTGGTGGTGGTGGTGGTGGAGGAGGAGGAGGAGGAGGGAGGCCGCCGTCGCGCGGAGGGCTGGCCACCGCCGAGGTCGCCCCGCGCCGTCGCCTCAGTCGCGTCGTGACTCGGGAGCGAGGGAGGGAGCGTACAAGAGAGAGGGAGAGGAGGGGATGAGAAGTTTCATGAAGGAGAATCAGGAGCTGGAGTATATATTTGCTCCACCGGATTCGCATGAGAAGCCGTAGAAGCTAGCAAAATCAACCCAGAGCGACGAGGAGCCGGAAGAAGCTGATTCCAACAGAAGCGGCTACAAGCAATCTGGGCCACACGATGGAGGATCGGACGGCTAGAAGAATCAGAGCGACGTGGCCACCTGAGAGACGGCCAAAGTATCCTGATATGTTAGATTCTTTGGCCGGCGAATCTGAAGTGCCTGACTCTCAGGAAATCTTTGCCGATGTTGATGAAATTGAGGCTGCCCATGCCGATGTTGATGAAATTGAGGCTGCCCATGCCCTGCGATGTATGGCATCTACTGATGTTACGGCTGAGTTACGTAAAGCCCATGGGCCATCGGTTTTCCTTAGGGCCTATTTAGTTCACCCACTGAATCGGCGCCGCCAAAATTCGACATACACTGTAGCTACTGTAGCGTTTTGTTTTTATTTGGTAATAATTGTCCGATCGTTGACTAATTAGACTCAAAACGTTCGTCTCGCAAAGTACAACTAAACTGTGTAATTAGTTTTTTATTTCGTCAACATTTAGTACTCCATGCATGTACCGCAAATTTGATGTGACGGGGAATCTTCTTTTTACATAGTGCCAAATTCTGGAATCCAAGGAACTAAACAAGGGCTTGGTCTCTGCGTATAGGGCTTAAACGCAGGAGATAAATGAACGGAGGGAGTATTACTGTACACTCCTTAGTCCGTACACTCTCCGCTAGTAATCCAAATCCTGCCGCACTGCACCAGACTGGCAATCGCAGAGGATCGGATCCTGCTCCTGCGCGGACACACCAAAGCCCGGCCAAGCCAAGATCCAACGCCCGCACGCATTCCCAGCATCCGACACACAGACAGAGCTCGCGGTCTCCAGCCCCGCTCTCCACTCTCGCCAGCCGCCGCCCGACTAATCACCGATCATCCCTGAGGCAGCGCCAGCGTCCGTCCGGTCGCCGCTCACTGACTCAGGCGACCCGCACCCGACAGCCGTCGTCATGCGGGCAGCAGCGGCGTCCCTACGACTACTACCCCACCTCCTCCTCCTCCTCGTCCTGCTGCTGTCCGCCGTGCCCAATGCCTTGTCCAAGTCGACGCTCGAGTCCTGCGCCTCCTCCACCGCCTGCCCGGCGCTGCTCTCCTACACGCTCTACGCGGACCTGAAGCTGGCCGAGCTCGCCGCGCTGTTCGCCGCCGACCCGCTGGCCATCCTGGCTGCCAACGCCATCGACTTCGCGGTCCCGGACCCAGCGGACCGCATCCTCCCGGCGGGTCTCCCGCTGCGCGTGCCGGTGCCGTGCGCCTGCTCCGACGGCATCCGCAAGGCCACCTCCGTCCGGTACGTGGCCCGGGCCGGGGACACGCTGGCGTCCGTCGCCGGCACCGTCTACGGCGGGCTCACCACGCCCGACTGGATCCGCGACTCCAACGGCATGCTCGAGGACGCCGCCCTCGACGCCGGAACCACGCTGTTCGTGCCGCTGCACTGCGCCTGCTTCGGCGGCGTCGACAGCGGCGCCCCCGCGGTGTACCTGACGTACGTGGTGGCGGAGGGCGACACCGTGCCGGCCATCGCGCGGAGGTTCCGCGCCACGGGCAACGACCTCATGAGCGTCAACGACATGGCCACCGCCGACGTCGCCGCCGGGGACATCATCGTCGTGCCGCTGCCAGGTGAGCTTTCTTGGATCTGGTTTTTGGCATTGCTTGGCCTGGACCGTTGCTCGGCCTGAGCTGTACCCTGCACTGTCACTCGCGTGCGTGGTCGGTTGGTTAGATCGGACGCATGCGACAAATTTGGTTGGTAAAAGTTGCTCGCGTAGCAGTGCAGCCAGTACTACCAGTAGCTGTCTAGCTGATCACTTATATTACCTGAAGTAGCAAGCAGAATTCACGCCGTTGTCGCTGGTTTTTGCAGCTGAAGTGTCGCTTGATCGCGTAACATTTCTGCGGTAGTTCAGTAAAAGCCAGGCTGGCCGTGCAGTTTTTATACGGAGTATTTGGCAAGGGCCCGTGCGTGTTTTTCTTTGCACGTGAAAAGGGGATGGAAAGGGGTGAAGCATGCAACACGAGCACGGTGCCTAGTAGTACCGCTGCGCCAAAAGTGTTGAGTTGGTGCTCTGTTTGGAACACTTCAAATATTGTCCAGTAGCAACATAGTGCGCTCCATGTGTGTGCCGTGTCGCTTCATCATCATTTGATACTTTTACTGACACGCTTAGTGCTCTTCTTCATCTACTGTTTCAGCATGCGCCTCGTCGTTCCCCGCGTTCACGTCGGACGCCGGCCTGGCCGTGACCAACGGGACATACGCGATCACCGCCAACCGCTGCGTCCAGTGCAGCTGCGGCCCTGGCGACCTGGAGTAGGCGCCGTCTCCTTGCCTTTTCTCTGCTCTGCATCCTCAGCTACGCCTTCCGTCTCGTGGTGTTTCTGACTCTGCCGCTGCCGTTGCTCGTTGCAGCTTGTTCTGCGTGCCGGCGCCGCTGGCGGACTCGACGTGCTCCAGCATGCAGTGCAGCAACAGCAGCATGATGCTCGGCAACTTCACACTACAGATGACCAGCGCCGGCTGCAGCGTCACCTCCTGCACCTACGGCGGATACGTCAACGGGACCATCCTCGCCACGTGAGCATAGTCCCGACCCAAATTAATTCACCTCGCGTTCTTCATTTGAGGGGAAAAAAGAACTTCACCAACAATCTTTCTTTGCATCTCGCAGGTTAATCACGTCACTGAAACCCCAGTGCCCAGGTCATTCCTCTTGCCACTGTTGTTTACCCTCAAACCATGGTCATTGGCCTCCATCGTGGACACAAACACAAAGCGAAATAGTGTGTACAACTGCTCATCTTTTTTTTTAAAAAAAACATCGTGTCATTCGTGCAGGCCCGCACCAGTTCCCTCCGCTGATGCCGCCGCCGACGTCGTCGTTCTTCGAGACGTACCTCGGCCCGTCACCGACGCCGATGGCATCTGAAGGCGGCATTGGCCCGCAGGTGGCTGGCATGGCGCCGACAAGCAGCCCGCCGGTGAGTTCAGGCAGTCCTCCGATGGCAGGTTCACACGGCAGTGACCGTCTTGCACTGGTCGCTCTTTGCCTCGTCGCCAGTCTGCTGTGGTAAATGGACTGTGAGAGAATAATCGAGCAGCACTTATCGGAAGCGAATTCTTTTGTGCAGGAGCAGTCGGCCATTTTTCTGCGCGGCGCAGCGTGCAAATTCTTTTTTGTTCTTCATTCGATTTGTCGTCCATGTAATATCGCGAACTCATGCCAATACGGAGCATTTATCTAGGAGGGTCGGTGACAATAATGTTCGTGTCAAGTGAAGCGGGATTGTGTGGGAGCTATTAGTGTAGGAAGGACGAGATGAGATGAGATAGTGTTGTCTCTGTTTTTCAAATCAGATCGTTCCTTACATGGAGTCATTTTTTTTTTTTTTGCGAGGGATGATTTGGCTTGCCCGACTTGGTGAAGAAAAAGTTTGAAAGCACAAGAACCGAAGCAGCGAGCAAGCCAACCAAACGTCGTTGTGCTTGCCCAGTCAGGCTAGGCAAGGGCTAACAAAGGATCCAAACGTCCCCTATGATACATGGGATGGATGACATTTGTCTACACCGTTAGATGGCATCAGTAGCGAGACCCACCCATCAGTCTCCCATGTACAGCTCCCTCTCGTTTCCTATCGCATTTCTCATTTCTTGAGTTGGCAGAGCTCGAGCTCCAGGCTGCCCCGTGCCGCCTGCCCGTGTCATGCACCGGGCTTGCCCCACCACCTAGCTCGCGCCACTCCCACCGTGCGTCCGTGGGCCACGGCTTGCCCGTCCTGATCGCACGAGATGGACACCGCAGACTCAATTAGGGATATGGAGGAGCCATAACACTGTGAGCTCAAACAAATTAAAAAAAAAAGATTGTTATATAACGATTGGATCGCGTAGGTTCTGGCCCTATCGGCCCAATTTAGATTTTGAGGCCATCCCTGTTGACCCGTTAACCTTGATTTTGTAGGTTGGGTCAACTAGTCAAAGGTCAACCCGGTCCATTCTCATTCCTAATTGGCATATCCTTGCCATCGGCTCCCTTCTGGATGATCTTGATGTGAAGAGCGCTAGTTTTGCCGGTGATGTGGTCCCCATATGTGCACTATGCACAACAGTGAGCACTTGTGCTTGCCATAAGATATGATTGTTCTTGTTCAGCTTTTCTCAGATTTGATCGCGGAACAGAGGATTGTAATTGGAAGAGCTTGATGCCATGGGTGCAATCTATTGAATATTGGAATAGAAGCAGCTCTATACCATGTCAAAATTCAAAGGCGTGGTGATGAGAGTCTACAAATGTAGTTAGCATTAGCCAAGATTGCTTGTACAATAAGAAGCTTTACGACAGTTAATATCTACTCTCTCCATCCCAAATTATAAGTCATTTTTCAATTTTTTTGGAGAGTCAAAACATCTCATGTTTGACCAAATTTATAAAATAAAATAATAACATTTATGATACCAAATAATTATCATTAGATTCTTCATTGATTATATTTTTATAGTATACCTACTTGATATCATAATTTTTATATTATAATTTTGGTCTAATACTTGAGATGCTTTGACTCTCTAATAAAGTTGGGATAGGGAAGTTTTTTTTTCATGTTCGGATCATTCACACCTATTTCATTAAGAGGAAAAGTTTCAAACAACAACTTGAGACAGACTTGATGACGAATAGCCATCAAGGCTGACCAAGGAACCACTTCCCTAGCTACTGGATACACACAAGGTGATTACATGATGACAGCGTTTTGCGACCAAAGCGGACAGATAGCGGAGAGCATCGTAAACCCTGCCTGCACCGGGATAAGGAAGTAATATACAGTAACCTTAACAACAACCCTTAGACCGCTGAAACTTTAATTTATTTAGATTATTACAAATAAAAAGGTAAAGAAAAGAAAAACGTTTGTACGACCTTGCAGTATAGTTTTAGCACACGATCAAACGAGTACACCTTGTCTACACATTTCGGATCCGAACAAGAGTAGTTGCCCTGTTCGCTTGGTTGATAAGTTATGTCTAAAAATACTGTTGGCTAATTTGTTGTGAAAAAAAAATATTGTTCGATAGCTGAAAAAATACGACTTATAAGTCCAGCAAACAGAACGAGTGTCGCTTGCTCTGCACGCCTGCGTTTCACTGAAACCGGCCCACGCATCCGGATGTTTCCGTGCCCCACGCACGGCATCAGTGCCGTCCAGCGTCCACCCATGCCAACCAAGTTGCGAGGTGCCTTGCGCTTCACTCCCGGGCTCCGCCGTCCGAGAGCGAGCGGAGTAAACAAAATCTGCGCGGAGATCGGGGAACAAACTCGATTCGCAGCTCCAGTTGCTGTACTGCACAGCGCACATCTCGTGTGCGCCCCTGCTGAGTGCTGACTCCCATGGACGACGGGACGGGGCCGATCCCGGTGGCTCCCCGTTTCGTTTGCCGCTGCACATCAGCACATGGCACATGGCAGACACCGCGTTAGTCTGGAGCTCGACTGCTCGAGCCTCTGCCATTGGTCCCGTGCTTTATAGATTCAATGATTCATGGCCTGCCTCCGGCCGCCCGCTTCACTCTACTACTCTAGCTTGTGCATCTCAGCAGCACCTCTGCTATGACTTAGGGCATGTTTAGTTCACAAAATTTTTTATGCAGTACCTATCATATCGAATCTTACGGCACATGCATAAAGTACGAAATGTAGACGAAAAAAAACTAATTGCACAGTTGGGTGAGAAATCGCGAGACGAAACTTTCGAACCTAATTAGTTCATAATTAGACACTAATTATCAAATACAAACGAAAGTGCTACGGTAGCCAAAACCCAAAAATTTTTGCATCTAAACGCGCCCTTACATGAATGTAAACTTCTGCCTGTCTACGATCGTGCTAGGAATGCGATCAGAGAATGGAAATTCTCTGGGATACCATCAGGCTACACTTGTTGCAGACACTCATTCTTTCGTGATAGGAGTAGCTTCTTTCCACGGAGAACCGTTGTGCTATCTGTAGTTCATCAAGTGGTTCAAACTCCGAATAGTAAAGTTGTATGACTCTGACCCCCACTCCTGGGTTACTGGACATAAACAAAAATCACGATTTCTAACTGGTGAAATGGGCACACAAACGCAGATCTCTAAACCACCTACGGTAGCTAGCGTTGATGTTAAGGAACGCAGAGCTGGTAATATTCTACAGCGACGCATCATTGCGACCTCGATTTGTGCCCATATTCCTTATTGCTATCTACAATTCTACATGGCCAAATGAGCTAACCAACTTCCACAAAGCAGAAAAAAGAACTCATGTTCTCAGGATCAGTGTCGAGTGACGGAGTGATGCACACATGCATGGACACGGTATTTATACATGGAGGATCCAAGAAGCCTTCATGCTCACAGCATACCTTTCATGGTAGCTAGTGGCGTGCTGCGCTCGCTACCACTCAACTCCAAAATGCCGACACTTGCGGCGTTCTTGGTCCTCTTGCTCCCGCTGCTGCTTTCCGCGGTTGGTGCCGCAGAGGCAGAGCTTACCCGTGGCGGCTTCGGCTTCAAGGCCACGCTGACGCACGTCGACGCGAACGCCGGGTACACGGAGGAGCAGCTGCTGGCCCGCGCGGTACGCCGCAGCAGAGCCCGCGTGGCCACGCTGCAGTCGCTTGCGGCGTTAGCGCCGGGGGACGCGATCACCGCGGCACGCATCCTGGTGTTAGCCAGCGACGGCGAGTACCTGATGGAGATGGGGATCGGCACGCCGACGCGGTACTACTCGGCCATCCTCGACACTGGCAGCGACCTCATCTGGACGCAGTGCGCGCCGTGCCTGCTCTGCGTCGACCAGCCCACGCCCTACTTCGACCCGGCGCAGTCCTCCACGTACAAGTCGCTCGGCTGCTCGTCCCCGGGGTGCAACGCCCTCTACTACCCGCTCTGCTACCAGAACGTGTGCGTCTACCAGTACTTCTACGGCGACAGCGCCAGCACCGCCGGCATCCTCGCCAACGAGACGTTCACGTTCGGCACCAACGACACCTGGGTCACCTTGCCGGGCATCTCGTTCGGGTGCGGGAGACTAAACTCCGGCTCGCTCGCCAACGGCTCCGGCATGGTCGGCTTCGGGCGGGGGTCTCTGTCACTGGTCGGCCAGCTGGGCTCCCCCAGGTTCTCCTACTGCCTCACCTCCTTCCTGTCACCGGTGCGCAGCCGGCTCTACTTCGGCGCGTACGCCACGCTGAACAGCACCAGCGCGAGCACCAGCGCGCCGGTGCAGTCCACGCCGTTCGTCGTCAACCCGGCGCTGCCGACCATGTACTTCCTCAACATGACGGGCATCAGCGTCGGCGGCTACCTGCTGCCCATCGACCCAGCGGTGTTCGCCATCAACGACACGGACGGCACGGGCGGGACCATCATCGACTCCGGCACAACGATCACGTACCTCGCGGACCCAGCGTATGGCGCTGTCCGCGCGGCCTTCGTGTCGCAGATCACGCTGCCCTTGCTGAACGTTACGGATACGTCGGTGCTGGATACGTGCTTCCAGTGGCCGCCGCCGCCGCTCCAGTCGGTGACGCTACCGCAGCTTGTGCTCCACTTCGACGGGGCGGACTGGGAGCTCCCTCTGCAGAACTACATGCTGGTGGATCCCAGCACAGGGGGCTTGTGCCTGGTGATGGCGACGTCCTCCGACGGCTCCATCCTCGGCAGCTACCAGCACCAGAACTTCAACGTGCTCTACGACCTTGAGAACAGCCTCCTGTCCTTCGTCCCAGCACCGTGCAATCTAATGTAGCTGTAACTTGAGTTTTCATATACGTTTATTTCGTTTCCCATCCGTTACTATTTATGCATACATGTGTGTTCTTAGGATTGGTGCTTGGTAGGGCTTTTAACTATAGGTCCTCGGTGATCTGTGTCAGTAAAGCAGATTTGGTTTACGTATTGTTGTCTTCTCAACATCTGATGATTAATAAGAAGATCATGTGTCTTTAGACGTGTTGTGGTGGATTCTACGGACCAGGTTCGGATCTTAGCACGTGTGTGCTTAGTATTTTCAACAGATTCTTCTTCTTTAAGTGGTGGAAACAACATGCTCACCAAGTCTCTCTAGGTGTTCATAGGCTCATGGCGTGGTACGCTATGCGTGTTTATAAAAGCTAATCCTCACTATAAGTCTATATCAACATGCAAGCAATCCACATCATCCCTACTAGCTATCAACATTATCTTTCACTAATAGTCTCCACTAACTTCCAACCTCTTAACGTAATCTATCTACATCATTTTCACTAAATTTCATTCCAAATTCTTTGCAATTCCTGCAGCAATGCGTAGAGTATTTTCTAGTTTATCTTAATCTTATACTCTTATAAAGTAAAATCCACTAGCTATTTATCTTAACATGTAAGCTGTTTAATTAGGCAATGCGCTATCACATACAATTAAAATTCACTAAGCAAAACCCCACTAGCTATTTATCTTAACATGTAAGCTATGCAACTAGACAATGCACTATCACATAAAATTAAAGTCCATTAGCACATGTAACTATAATGTCCATATCATCAAGACACATAAGCATTTTGTTGTCCACGTCATCGTACCACGCAATCCAATAATCCGCAATTCCCACAGCAACGCACGGGGTTTATTTCTAGTATTACTAATTAGAAACCTTCAATGAAGCCTCCATGCATGTTAATTGTCACGAGATGCATCAATTAAGAGATGAATAAATCCTATAAATTATCACAATAATTATAAATATCTAGTCTTTAATTTGGTACACTATAATCATAATAATAGTTATTGGGTCTACTCTATTTTATATAAAATGACCTACCTCTGTTATTATTAAAAATACATAAAGTAACTCCTAAATACGCCTATAAATTGATAATACAGGGGCCGATGGTCCAACTGCGTAGTCCGTTTATGGACCGGCCCGAGTACAAGTGCTATGTCTACTCGACTCAACTCTGAAAAAAAAAACTCGACTCAACTCTGATCACTCGCGCTCTTGATCCATCCGGGTTCCGATCATGACGAAGGGTCGCGCCGTCAAGCGTCGGGGGCGACTCTTTCGATCTTCTGTTCATGGTGAAGCAGGAACAACAAATACTTCTCGCCTGATCGGCCAAAATTGCAGGGTTGTAATGGGTCTGGGACCGAAAGTGCAGGGCGGTCCGTAGCTCTGCCCCTGGTTGCCTCCAAACTACGTGTGCAGCGGCACGTTTGCAGTCACGTTACCATCACACCAACCTTCATTCCATTGTACTGGAGGCATAATTCTTTGGCAACCCGAAGCGCAGCTAGTGAGTGGCGCAGATGAAATTGGCTGGCATAGATCAGAATGCATTTTGGTTAGTGCTCAGTACACGCAACAACCACTCATTCAGACCCAATTAACCTGAAGATGCCATGTCCACTCATTTTACTAGATCGGAACGCCAAGGATCGGAATCGCCTCTCAGGTGAGGTGATAGTGACACCATCTTCTCTAATGGAGGATCGCTTACATACTCTTTTGGCTAGTTTATTTACTTGCCGTGTTAATGAAAGCATGCTTGGGTTAGGTCTGAATTAGATCCGCACATGTAGACCCATATCGATGGCTAGAATATTTTGTCTCTCCACAGGAGCCCGGCAGCATCTCGGATCGGCCCTCTTTTCACCTGCAGCCACATACGTGCATTCTCCTCAAAATTCGGCGGTCACGTCAAGAGTTGTAGCTAGCCATGGTATAGTCCCTACGACTGTACTGTCTAGTGCCCTCGTGCAGCTGGTGAGTTACAGGTCGCCAACCTTTCTCTTGATCTTCGCAGCTGGATGTCCCAAGAGCATTCCCCGACTTATTCGGTGCCTAGACCACCATCGGCAAACGAATTTTGTGAAGTTTCATGGACAATCCTGCCTGTTGCTTTCGTTCCCAGCTTGCCTCGATGCGTTTGCATCAAGACGGTGCAAGAATATATATTGTGTGTGCCGTCAGCCGTGCGTGGAATCACCTCGCACATATATAGCCATCACCTAGGTGCTATGGTGCGCAAGCTATAGGGCCTTATTAGAGAGCACAACAAAAACATGGAGCAAAGATGGTAGTGCTGGTGCTTGCGATAGTGTCGTTGTACGTTTGCCCGGCGGCGGCATCAGCGTTCGCGGGGGACGACGACGTCCGTGTCGCTCTAAAGCATGTCGACGCTGGGAAGCAGCTGTCCAGGAGCGAGCTGATCCGGCGCGCCATGCGGCGGAGCAAGGCGAGGGCGGCCGCGCTCTCCGCGGTGAGGAACCGCGCCAGCGCCCGCTTTCTGGCAAGGACAACGAGCAGCAAACGCCGCCTACCGGCGTGCCGGTGCGCCCGTCGGGGGACCTCGAGTGATTCGTCGACCTTGCCATCGGCACGCCGCCGCAGCCCGTCTCGGCGCTGCTCGACACTGGCAGCGACCTCATCTGGACGTAGTGCGCGCCGTGCGCCAGCTGCCTCGCGCAGCCAGGGGAGTCGGCGTCGTACGAGCCCATGCGGTGCACCGGGCAGCTCTGCTCCGACATTCTGCACCACGGCTGCGAGAGGCCCGACACGTGCACCTACCGCTACAACTACGGCGACGGCACGATGACCATGGGCGTGTACGCCACGGAGCGCTTCACCTTCGCGTCGTCGGACGGCGACAGGCTCATGACCGTCCCGCTCGGTTTCGGGTGCCGCTCCATGAACGTCGGCAGCCTCAACAACGGCTCCGGCATCGTGGGTTTCGGCCGGAACCCGCTCTCGCTGGTGTCGCAGCTCTCCATCCGCCGCTTCTCCTACTGCCTCACGCAGTCACGCCCTACGCCAGCGGCAGGAAGAGCGCCCTCCTGTTCGGGTCCCTGTCCGGTGGAGTCTACGGCGACGCCACCAGCCCCGTGCAGACCACGCCGCTCCTCCAGAGCCCCCAGAACCCGACCTTCTACTACGTCCACCTCGCGGGCCTCACCGTCGGCGCCAGGCGGCTGCGGATACCGGAGTCGGCGTTCGCGCTCCGGCCCGAAGGCTCGGGCGGCGTGATCGTCGACTCCGGTACTGCGCTCACGCTGCTACGGGTGCGGTGCTCGCGGAGGTGGTGCGGGCGTTCCGCCAGCAGCTGAGGCTGCCGTTTGCGAACGGCGGCAACCCCGAAGACGGCGTCTGCTTCCTGGTGCCAGTGGCCTGGCGGCGCTCATCGTCCACGTCACAGGTGCCGGTCCCAAGGATGGTGTTCCACTTCCAGGGCGCGGACCTCGACCTGCCGCGGCGAAACTACGTCCTGGACGACCACAGGAGAGGCCGCCTATGCCTCCTCCTGGCGGACTCCGGCGATGATGGCTCGACGATTGGCAACCTGGTGCAGCAGGACATGCGCGTGCTCTACGATTTGGAGGCAGAGACCTTGTCGTTCGCTCCGGCACAATGCTGACACGCGCGCAACTAGTAGGAGGCCGTCGACTCACTCTGTATCCAAGTTAGTGTTAACCATGCAAATGCATGTCAACCATACCGGGTCGCACTTTGCACGCAACAAACCAGGGTGTGTAATAAATGATCATGTTGTTTTAGAGGAAAATAATAAATATGATCTGGTTACAAGAAAAAGGCAAGGGGAACCGTGAGGCAATCATGGTAAGCTACTATCATAAAAGAAAAGGCAAGGAAAGGGTAACGTGTTTTCCATTCTGCACCAAAAATGTATTGCAGCATGTATATGTTCAGCATGCTCTATCTTCACTGTTGAAACCTACTATGGAATTTGTGTTGCTTACTCTTTTGGATGGCACATATCTCGATGTGGCGTTTGGACGGTCGAGATACCATAGAAAAAAATGCCGCAATAACAATGAAACAATAGCATGTCCTTTGAATAGGCTAGCTAGGAGCCTAGGACTGATGTTTGGAATGGATTGGTGCTGCTTTAATTTCCCTTAAGGCTCGGGCATGGATGACAATCATGACTTTCCTTTTTCTTATTCCCACTTTTCCTATATTTTAGGTGTGGACAACATGTAATTTTGTTGTTGTTTGACTATAATAAAACTAGACAAAAATCTCACGCATTGCTACAGGATTTGTAGAAGGTTTTTGATCAAACTAAAAGGAAAAGATGTAGAATGTGTGTGTGTGTGTGTGTGTATATATATATATATATATATATATATATATATATATATATATATATATATATATATATATATATATATATATATATATATATATATATATATCGTACTATAGTTTCACGTTATAACTATTTGATGGTGTTGTTTGAATAATGTAAGAGAAGCCAACGATGGATGGTGGGGGCTGAGCGTCCTGAACCGATGAGATTACACAAACACTTGAGTATGCACATTGAGAAAATACCATAATACTACTTAATTAGAGATCATGCAAATTGCAAGAGGTATTTGTTTAGATAAAAAGGAAGTTTCAATCCTCACGTGTAGTGGCAAAGAAAAGCAATGAAACTTAGCGGCTATGACAGATGGATGTGATCACGTTACGTGCTGAAGATTGGACAACCAAAACAATGCTGATGGACGTGGATCGCTATGGTTGCAGCTTTATAGCAATCAATGATTGCTAGTGGCCTCCGTCTCTCTCTCTCTCTCTCTCTCTCTCTCTCTCTCTCTCTCTCTCTCTCTCTCTCTCTCTCTCTCTCTATATATATATATATATATATATATATATATATATATAGAGAGAGAGAGAATGTAAATTGTTATTTGTGAGTTGTTTTCTTAATTACACTAGTTGATTGTCTAAGAATTCAGGCACCTAAAATATAGAGACCCTTTGTTCCTCTTCAGAACTTCAACTATTGTTGGAGCATCCAATTCAACAGTTACTCATTTTTTTGGGAGTGTATAGAACATTTGGGTTGCACTATTGTTTTAGGGGTTGTAGTGCCTGATTTGGAACCGATCACCAAGATTTTCATGACAAGAGTCGCTTGTGAGTTGAGCCAAATTCATATGTTGTGAAGGATTCCAACACACTAATTATCAAACACATTATCATTAGTTGAGAGATACAACAAAAAGTGATTGTAACTTATGTGTGAAGTAAGTACAATTTCGGTGTAAAGGAGTCATGCAGCTAAGGTTTAAGAAAAAATCATGTGATGAGAGGCTTTAATTTTCCTTACTTTAAATACCCGATTATCATAAAAGCACTAACTTTGACAAGATCTAAGCATCAAAATTCATGAGTTGGGATGCATGGAAACACCCCATCTTTGTTTAGCTTTGTCCCTTTTCTCAAAGCAAAGGCACATACAGTTAAACTAAACTAAATAATGGGAAAATCAACACTTTACATGATACAAACTGCTTGTGGTGGTGTAGAGGAAGGTACGATGTATCGCGGAATAGGGTCCACAAGCCCACACTACCAATGTTGTAGGTGTGCCTTACACAACTAGCTCGTTTAAGTAGTTCTGGATATAGACACAAACGTATTGGCCACATGTCAAGAAGTATGGTTGGCTTATTCGAAATTTGTTCTCTCTAAAGGGAGCTCGAAATAATGTATATTTTGAGAAGAAGCTATTTTGATCTCTTACAGAGGTTGTTTATGTGGCTTGCTCATTTATTTCCTACTACTAGGTAGGTTTACAACAAGAGGAGGATCATGACATGTTGGAGCAAGGAGTTGAAGCATTGAAGGTTGCTACACATAGCTTTCATCCACAAGAGGCATGGCAAGATGATTGTTGAATGGTGTTGCTACACTAATAACGGGGTGCTAGACTTCACAACCTAAGACAATCAAAATGCTTGACTACCATATATATGATTTTGCTATGAAAAAGTAGTTTCCATTAGGGACAGATTATGTGGAGCAGTTTTAGAAGTCTAGTTATGATTTTTATATTTTCTGCAGTAGTTTCATCTTTAGTCGGTGTAGAAACTAATATCCTTATAAATCTTGCCAGGTTATCACAAGACACAAGGTTAATTGGGTTCTTGGGGTATGGAGGTTTGGCTTGCCATGGTAGCATTCAAATTGATCCAGTATAGAGTCTAGTGATCTAACCTATAGAGGTGAAGCCCTTATCTGGTTTGTTGACTCTAGTTGACCAACACTATTGGGATATGTATATACTAGTGTTAAACAAGTAGCTTTGAGACTTGGCTGTGGTTGGTTGCTAGGCTTGTCGATGACAATTCAACTGAGGTGTTTGAACATAGTTTGTTCCTATGACCTCCTAGGTGGTTCTAGGACACATCTGGCTTTTTAATTTTAAAATGGACATGGTTTAAAAGCTAGGATCATTTAGAAAATATGTGAGGTTCTAAGGGGGAGGGGACTTATGGTTGATTCTAGGGTTGAGCAATATATGGGAGATGTGTTGATAGGGAAACTTACTCATGGGAAACTATATCAAGGCAAGGGACTCATGTTGGACTAGAGAAAATGTTGGTGAAGCTAAGTCCCCTTCCATGAAGCTTCAAATTCATGGATAAGAGAAAAAAATAGGATGTGGGAACTCCTTGCTCTAAACATGGCAAGGATGAAGGGGGAGGAAGAATATGGCGGGGTCGATCATGTCTCCATTAGCTCCTTGATTTAGTGAACTGTAGGTGGTAGAGAGATGAAGATGTGGGCTTACCTTGCATTATCTGCCAGGATATCCATGCTTGACAGAGTACAGGAAGGAAAGGGATGGAAAAGATTAAGGAGTAAAGGAGATGGGGAGTGAGTGCATAAATTTGCTAGCATATGTTTCTTGGCCATATCGACAAGTCATCCCATGGGAGGTAAGAGTAAGACACCTCACATATTAGATGGACAACTAGTCAAAACTAGCAATTTGACCACTAGAAGGTGTGGTCTAATCACTAGACCAATTGATCATTCAATAAATCAAGTCAACAGTAGTGCTAACATGGGCGTTGACTAGTAGGTCGGTTCAACAGTTAGAACAATAGATATGGCTGGCAGAGTCTCGAAGGATCTTGTGAACTTGGATTTATGGGTGGGTTTTTAGCCAACTAATTTTGAGAATGAATGATTTTTTGGTCTAACTAAATTTTAGTCAAAGGAGGATTATGCAAAACTTATTTTTCAATAGCAGGTGGGTGGCAAGAATAGTCTAGGCAAGTAATTTGATATTGATGGTTGTTGCTGGTTATTTATGGCCATTTATCAAACATTGTATGATATGAGAATAATACTAGCCCTTGGTACCCTAAACCCTAAACCCTATACCAAACATGTACAAAATCTCATTATGCCAACCCTACCATATGGCCTTGACCTGAGGTGTGTGTAGTATGTGGATTAAGTTGTACAACACTACATGGTATAAACCTTTTAGAATATATGTGGCTATCAATCTTTAAACCATTTGGTATAACTAAAAGATTATCCAATCTCTAGGAACTGTTCTAAATGTTTGAATTTTGAGCAATGTTGACTACCAAGCCGAGTGTTGGATGCTAGTTACTAAACTTGGGAACTAGTAGGGTGTTGAAGATTGCTACAACAAACATAAGCCTTCAATTTAACCTGCATCTATCCCTAAAATCAATCACCAACATAGGAAATAGAGGTTTAAACTAATGAATTTCACAAGTCATGGTGAATATTTGTATGTAGGCTGATTTATCCAGAAAACGGACCATGTGGGCCATTCTACGCCAGTAATACAAGATTATCGACGATGAAACCGACTCCAAGGACCTCTAATCCACCGTCAAAGACAAACCGCCAAAGATGGGCGTGAATGGAGAAGAGGTGGGGTCGGCCGACCCCACCCCTTGGTTAGCTGACCTATGGGGACGAGGTATCAGCCAATCCTTCAACGTGAAGCCTCCACCGCCTTTGAGGATCAATCTCCACCGTGATTCAACTTTGGTTCTGTTGACACCGTTTTTTGCACGTGTCAAAATGATCAGAGTGGGCTAATCGGCAGGAGGAAAGTTACTGTATACGCTGACAGCCGATGAAAATCAGCTTGTAAAGATGGTTGCCGATGAATGGTGGTGATCGATGGAAAGGTTGATTTGGACTCGGGCGTTGCCGATAAGGTTGGAGATGTTAGTGTCGATGCCGATGAAGGAAGGCTTGAAAACTACTGCAAATGAAACAGGAAGTATGCCGATGGAAAGGAGGTCGGTGAGAATTCCATCGTAATTGAGGCGGACAGGGAAATAGATAGGAGTTGATTTCCTTTTCTATATTTGTTAGAGTATGATTTATGTAAGAGTCACGTGTTTCCTTAGATATGGACTTGGTGTCCTAGTCGTATTTGGTTATGTCTCTTTAGATCAGGGTATAAATATAGATTGAGGGGCAATGTAATAGATATCAATCAATATCAAAACCAATTTTTACTCCTATTTGCATCTACTTACTTTTTCGGCGACTTCGTCAATTTGCATATTTTTTCCTTTTTACGAGTTCTCATTGATTCGG